CTGGTCTTCAGTAGCTGGTGAAAACACCTTTAAACCTACTCACAGTATATTTCTAAATGTTTGGTCTTATAAACAGTTAGTTATTTAAGTTATGATACAAATATAAGGATTATATTCAGAATTTATGTGAATGAATAATCCCAGAATGCACCACAGCCTCTGACTGTATTTAAAAGGTGTTGCTCTGGGTGTGATGGTTTCCTGTGTTCTGTCATCGGGCACAGAAGTGAGTTCTGTTTATTTATCGGTGACGATCAGCTGCACTTTGAATCACTCACACATCACAAGCTCGCTCCGTTTGGAAATTCCTTTTTATTGGTTGGTCGTTAGCCAGGAGGGTAGCAGCAGCCACACCACACTGCGGAGGAAGAAACAAAACCAAAAGACAAACAACAACAACGATGTCGGTGCTCTTCATTTCCTCTGACCACTGTAAAATAAATACTCATCCACGTCGTCCTCCGTGATTATTGTTCCCGCTATTGTTGTAACCGTTTAAATAAATATCAATGAAGCAAATATCAGCGATGAAACAGAAAGTGTGAAATGCATATTGTTCCATATATAATATATTCATTTTAGATATTTTTTTCTATATATATTTGTTCCATATACTCTCCTTAAATTCTTTCACAACATACAAGATGCCAATTTTGTACCAAAAGCGATGCTTGCTAAGACACGAGAGGAGATGTGTAGTGGTTACAGTGGCAGCCTGCGCACATACAGCATCAGACAGGTTCCTGAGGAGTGTTGGAAACATTTGGGAAATTTAGAGAATTTACAAATCGGAGTGATTTATTTGAACGATCAGATACTCGGATATCTTTGTCATCGGAGGTCAGGTGTGGAAGTTGAACTCCCTTTACGACTGCCACGTTAAGATTCTGAATTGAAACCTTACAATTGACCATTTCCCCTGAAAACTTAAGATAAGTATGTTTCTTTACTTAATTGATGCCAAAGAAAATGTGTAAATGTTTTCTACCAGAATATTAATAATTTTAATTGCAGCGAAACTAGTAAAAAAAAAAAAAATTGCATTTCAGCGAAAACACATTTGCTTGTGCTTCATTTGTTAATATTAAATAAAACAAATTATGAGAATATAAGATATTAAAACAATTTAAGATGGTTGAACGGAAACTGAAAAAACATTTTTTTAAAAGATTAGTTGAACATGGGAATCAATGGAAGGTTGTTTAACATGTAACCCACAATGCACTGCATGAGTCACTCTGTGTGTCTGTAGTACGTAAAAAACATTGCATACTAAAGTGGTTACGATCAAGCTGCGACTGTAAATATTTCTTTAAAGTCACTCTGAGAACAGATAAACCAGTTTAAAAAATGTGCAACACTTTCGTCTGAAACACGGACGATCCCGGTTCAATAATGTTCCTCATGTTGTCTCCACAAGCACCAAGAGCCGACTGAAGTCATCCAATCAACGTGGAGGAGACGCCTCGAACCAATCAGAGGCCACGCCCACAGTAATGAGGCGAAACACAAAAACGTTTCTCTCCACGCCGTCGTCTTTAAACACCACAGAATGACAGTTATGTGCAGATGACGATCTTTTGTTCTGCAGACGGCCGCCGTGGTTTTCTGCTGTGTTTGAAGCTTTGTTAGTCATTCACAGAGCGTGCATGCAGTATAGAATGTGCCAGCGATTTATGATAAATGGCTCCCACGACAGGCGTACACTAGCGTCTTTTTCTTTTTAAAAGCTCCGTTTCTCCGTCTGCAAAAACACGTGGTCGTGGTGTCTGAAGATTTTTTTTGACGTGTGGATGAAAAGCTGAGAGAAAGTTTTCACGTTCGTCTGCGTCACCGAGGACAGGCCGGGTGGTGAGCATGAATAATTCTCAACTACACAGATTATGATTTTTTTTGATTTGCCAGAACTTCTGTTAGTAATGATCATTATAAAGTCGCAGGTGAAACTAAGAGTGGATAAAGTTGCAACATTAAAATAAAAAATAAAAGTTGAGCGTGTCCTCCATTGTCGTCAACCCGTCTCGAAGTGAAACCAGTGATGAGAAACATTTGGGGCAACATTTACACATCGTGGAAACAAAGAGCAGCAGCACAAAGTAATAATCCATCCTCATCCATTTGGCAAATAAAAGTTTATAATGAGAGAAATGAATCACGGACTTCAGGGACGAGCTGCGGAGCTTTGCAGGGCTGAAAATGGGTAAAAGACTTCTGTCAACATGGTCCCAGCGTTCAGACCGATGATTTTATATAAAAACAAAATCTACACAGCCCCCAGATGTCTGTATGGGTCTTAAACCCGCCCCCTCCATGTTAGCATCCTGGACATGGACCAAAGATGGCGTCAGTCGTTGTAGGAAGTCCTTGTCTCACTGATTTCCATTTCTAGGATACGTTTTAATGGGTTGACATGTTATGATTGACAGCTGAGACTGACGTTGATTCCGTGGCTACGCTCCGCGACCACTGCTGCACAGACCCTGAATCCAAACGACGTTAAAGCACAAGATGGCTTCATTTTTGTACCGTGGGGAGAAACTGAGACGCGTTTCAATGAAGCTGTATCAAACGGCTCAAGTTTTATCAAACTGTCCGATGCAGCAAACGTAGAAATCCAACTTCGTGCCGAACGTAATGTTGACCTCAGCTGCACGTATGTTACACACCTGAGAGTTGTTGGACAAATCCAGATTTTGTTCTTTTAAGCCCGATGGAGAATTGAACTGATGGATGTCTCAGCAGCTTCAGAGGATTTGGTTCCTGATGCTAAACGTATATTTAGTGTTTAAACCAAGTGATGACACGGACACTGCACAATCAGGGACATGGTGATGGCTTATTCCTTGTTCGAAGTTTTCTGAGTTGCCCCAAAAGTTCCTGAATTGGTCACGAGTCGACAGTAAATAAGTAAATATTCACGATAATGGAAAACAGCCGTAATAATATCAATCTCATGGGAACAAAATAAAGCAGAATAAAAATAGTTATGCAGTTAAAGCCCATATTTACATATAAAAATATAGCAAAGTAACTTTTAAGAAATCAGGTCAGTGTGTGTCCGTGTCCGTGCTTGCGTGACTCATCCTGTCACACATGCACTCACACAGAAAAGCCCTCATGCATCCAAATCATCCGAATCCACACACACACATGCACCCGCCTGACGCTGTGTGTGTGTGTGTGTGTGTGTGTGTGTGCGTGTGTGTGCGTGGCAGAGTTCTTCTGTTGCACTAGTTTTTCTGTTCAACCTGAAGTTCTGAACACGTTCAGTCGATGGTCATCTCACACTCATTTTGTCAAACTCGCTCTCCGTCAGACTTCACAGCCGCGTCCACACCATCTCTTTCCTTTCATCCGACTCCTCTCTCGTCTCTCTTCCTCCCAGCATCCCTCTTTCCCCATCTGCCAAACACCACAGCCCCACTCCATCCTGTCCTCTCTTCTTCCCTCCCTCCCACATGCTCCATTCTTCTGCGGCCCATTAAGAGCTATCATGGAGCTAATTGCCTGTTTGATCAACTCTCTGCGGACCAGGAACTGGAGGCTTTTAGCCCTCTGAGCGAAAGAGGAGAGAGGGAACGAAGCAGGAGGGGATAAATTGGATGTGTGGGAATAATACGCCTCGAGTCAGTCGGCTTAACTCGAAATCTCAGCTCCCCAAAACATCGGGTTACCTTCTCTGTTTAATGTATTTAAGTAGAATCTTATTTCCCGAGTGTAATTGTACTTGAGATATTAACCCTGAAAACGTTGGTGCACTGTGCATCCATGATGGTCGGTGTATCTAAAAGGCTCAGTTGGTGTTAACGTGAATCGAGAAACTAAAACTGTTTTTTTTTTTCCACATTGAGTCTCGACGAAGATGCTAATGGCCCTGAACGAGAGTGAGACGGGGAGAAAGTTTGATTTGACAATGGGAGGACAGCGAGGGAGAAGATTAGGTGGGCTGGAGGAAGAGGAGGAGAGAGGGATGCGGAGGTGGGGGTGGCGAAGGAGGTCGGTCAGAGGAGGGAGGCTGGCGACAGACTGACTTCAGGAGGAAACCCAACCAGACCCAGAGAGCTCCACTGAAGCGGCACTGCTAAAAATAAGACCAGGGAGGCTTCTTCTGCTGACAACACAACATACACACAGGCTCTACAACACACAGCTTGTTGTACAGGAGGAGGACACACACACACACACACACACACACACACACGCTGCCTCGTCACAATGGATGCACCCTCCCTCCGGTTAAATAATCCCCATTCAGCTCTTGGCTTTTGAGGAGAACATGTCCATCTACCTCACAGTGCGTTTCCTTTACAAATCAGCTTAATAGCATTGAAGTTCACACAGTCTGTACAGTGCACGGTCCCTTTTTGGTTCTGACTGTTGTTGCAAGTGTCATTGTTCCCACTTCACACCTCGGTGCTTTGCTCAGAGTCCCAGTCAGATATTCTCTGCAGCTCCACGTTGGTGTCTCCATTCACCGGACTTCAGCCCTGGTGGAGTCATCTGAATGTCAGTGTCTCCGTCTCTAACGCTTGTTCCCATTCAAGAGGACAGAAACTGTCGGCACAGACCATGCACACCACCACCAGCAGGTCTTCATCCTGACTTGTTGCCTCACCTGTCTCTGTGTGCCGTCTTGCAAAGGGTGAGAAGGACAGAGGTGCAACAATAAATAAATAGAAGACGTTGGGATTACACCACAGAATGCAGAGAGGGGTGATTTCTGTCTTGAAGCCCTGGTTCAGGTCGACGGGCAGTGCAGCAAAGCACGACAGCTTCCTCCTTCAGGGTGAGTTTTTCTTTTTAGGCTTGAAGTCTCCATTATGAACAGGCACAGTAAAGCTTTGGTCCCTCCTGAGGTGGAGAATAAGTAAATTCAAGGTACATTAGGTGAACAACACTTCACGGTTGATTGGTTAGTTGGCTTGTCATATCTAGGTAGGTAGGTCACAATGGCATTGTCGTCACAATGTCAGCTGTGGCACTGTTGATTGGCGACAGCGTTGCTTTGGCCACGGCTGAGGAGAAGTGGATTTACCTGGTCCCCATCCGAGCCTGTCATAACGGCTTCTCCAGTGCTTTGCTGCGGAGCGAGGGGTGACCAGAGTTGGGGTTAGAGGCAGAAATCTTGCGGCACACAGTGTTGGTGTTGCTGCACCTGCAGCCGGGGCGGGTGGACCGGTCGTGGGCACACTGGCACATGGCAAGGCACAGCCTGGCGGGGGGATAGCAGCAGAGGCAGGGAAGGCAGAGCGCCATCAGCCCCATTGTGCCCCAGCGGGCACAGGCATGGGCTGGAGTACAGGAGCAGGGGCGGTCAGCACAGTTATCCTCATCATCCTGGGCGGAGCAGTGATAGAACAAGCCTTTAACGCAACATAAGCAGGTGCCGTACTCCACGGCACTCTCAGCAGAGCACAGACAGCGCTGACCACAGGCCCAACAGGAAGGCAGGCGGCGGGGGGCGCAGCACTCTTGGCACTTGCAGCGACCACACCGCTCGCAGATGAACTGATGAAGGCCGAGCTCGGCCTCGTCCTCCGTTAGGCCTTTACCAAAGGAAGCATCAGGTTTGAGTTCTCCTTTAGGTTGAGAACGGACCACTGAACCTAACCCAGAGTGAGAAGGTGTCAAACCTGCCAGTAGCCGCTGGTCCGACGTGGCACTGGTCCGAGAAATGGAAGAGCTTATGGTACTGGAGCGACTCAGGTGGGACAGGTGAGCATGCTGCTGCTGACTTTGGCTGCGGGGCAGGGCAGAGTGGAAGGAGTGCTGGGGGTGGTGCGTGTATACTCCATGAGGGTAACGGTCATCATGGGCATAAAAAAATCCGGTCTGGGATGCCGGTTCCAGCGCCACGGGCCTCTCCACATAGTCATTGTTGGCCCGGATGGCGCGTATCTGGTCGAGCGACAGCACCGGCACCTGCTGGAGGTCGAGCCCGTCCAGCTCCATCCTGAAGGAATGAGCAGGGTCCATCCTGGTGAGCCTGAGCCGGGCCGGGTGGCACCAGTGCTGCAGGCCGGGGCTGGGGCACGATGCTCCCAACACTCACGGCACATCAGATAAACCTGCAAACACAGTGGAAGGGATTGACAGTCGTCAGTGATGATGATGATTCAATTCATAAAGTTCACACATTATTTTCAGTGTTATTTTCTATAGTGGGGGGGGGGGGGGCAGATGAAACCAGGTGATTTGGACAGAGGCTGAAAAGAGGAGCTGCAGCAATGGACAGATGTTTTTTGAACCTTTTCAAGACATAACACTCTTTAAAATGATTAATATGTAAAATAATTATATAGAACTCTTTCCCTTGTAGTGAAACACAGGAAAGCAGGAAGTGATTCCAGCGAATGTTTGTCACTTCAGAGTTTCAGATAATTCCTTCAAACGTTATTTTGACATATATAATTATTCATCATGGGTCATTGAGGTATCGTTGCTTTCCATTCCACAGTAGCCTACATGTCCCTCTCCCAATATCTGAGCAGCGCTTCATCAAAGATTTGGCAGCGCAGCTTCTGCACAACCATAAACCATGTCATCGTGACAGTGAGGTTCTCCGCTGCTAACGCTATTATTAGCCTGCCAGAGCCGGAGAGATACGACCATGAGATCCACACTGTAATTTAGCATCTGTTGAACGCAGCTGCAGCCGCCACAGAGGAAACCCACCTGCAGACAGTGTGACAGCACATCCAGTCAGAGACACTGTGGAGGAGTCGTGTTGTTTGCAGGTTTGATTCCGAAACATTTTATTTATGAATCAACAGACACGTCTTCAATTTACCTGCCAGGTTTTTTTTAAAGCTGCTCGAGTAGATGAATCGTTCTCGTTCACAAAAGTCTGGTTTTTTTTGTTTTTTTTAGGAAAAACCAGCAGATAAATATAAAGTAGGCGACACAGAGTTTTGGTTTGTGGCTTCGGCCACAGCTAAAGACTGAAGCGAGTGCAGAGATGTTTTACAAGTAGTTTCTTCTGTGGCCATGCACCAATATCTGCTTTTAAAAAGTTATAAATCAACTGTTTTTTTCTTCGGAACCACTTTCCACCAAGTGTTGAGCTGTTGAAGTATTTTGAGCAATACTACTGAACCTTTGACGGAAAAACTCACAGACACAGTATTTAAAAACCTGAGGGCCGGAAACAAGAGTATCTGCATGGTTGTGCTGCTGTGGGGGATGTGATGAAGATGAGATTTTGACCGTTGCCTTTTTTTCCTCTTTTATACGTCGTCTTCTAAGATGTTTATTCATTTTTAGGAAACGTAATCACTGACAGCAATGAGTTAGATGGCATTTAGTGTGAGATGTGAACTCACTGCAACGCTGGGTAGGACTGCCACTAAATGATTAAGAGGTTTAATACAAAGTTCAGTAAATACGAGAGGAAAAAACTTCATTAAATAAAAAATCCAAATCGAGTGGAAAATGCAGCTGATTGGATTTTCAGCTTTTTGAGGCTTCAGTGAAAAAACTCAACTCTGAGGAAAAAACAAATGATTGCTTGATGTTTGTTTCCTCATTGGTAGAAAAACATGTTCCGCGCACGATGAACACAGTATTCAACGTGCACAAATACTGTACACACACACACACACACACACACAAAGACGCTGTAGTCTTGCCAAGTGGCCAAGGGGGAGAGATCTCTGGCTCACTTCTCACATGGGGCCGGTCTTCTCAGAGTAATGAGGCCAAATAGAAATGCATTTAAAGCCGCTCAGATCATGAGATTAGATAAAGGAGCAAAGTAAAGGAGCTCAGTGAGTCTGACTTCACGTCCATGTGACTCATTTCAAAAACACTGTGAATGCACCAGAACGGTCAACATCCAAACTGAACTTCCAGAACAGAAACCCTCGTTTTCAGTGTAACGAAACATCGATGTGACTCTGACCCTTTCACGAGGAACATTTCGTTATTAAGGTGCTTCCACTAAAGCACATCACGCAGTGACCTAACCTCCCTCAGTCCGCAGCTCGCCCGTCTTCAGGTTTGAGAACTTTTGAAACCGACATTAGAATCAATCCAATGCAGCAATGAAGTTAGGAGTTCACCATTATGAATTTCTTTGAGGAGAGACCGTCCCTCAGTCTGTGCCAATAACTCCAGATGTTGCGCCCCCCCCCCTCTATCAAGGCAACGTTTTAAATCCAACCTTCGAGTGCAGCTGCTCCCAGGGACCTGTTCAGACACTGGTTGGTCAAAGAGCTCAGAAGCTGAGGGACGATTCACAAATCAACAACGAGATGATTGGTCGATCCGACAGGAAACCAGATCTACGTTATATCTAAATGTGTAAATGTTCATGCAAACCTCAGTCGTAAGTTCAATCAGTTCACTCTTGTTATTGCTGATAATTGCTGATAATTGCTCAGGTTATACAAGTTATTGATCTGGAACGTTGTTTTGTTTTGGAATGAACGAATAAAGATGAACCTGAGAACCGTTCATGAGACGCAGTGACTCAGCAGAAAATTAAAACAGAAACTCCGACTCCATCAACAGACGACCCGAAAGAACTAGATGAGCCGGTTTTCTACACAAACACAAAATATCACTTTGCATTATCGCCCTGTTACGTACAACAGGTCATTTAAATACAGACAAGTGGGCTGTGGAAAATGCAGAGCACATGCAATGAGAGAGGAGGATGGTGGGGGGGGGATGAAACCCAAGAATGGCAACCAATCACTGGGGGGGGGGGCGGTTAGCAAGCAGGACGCTGAAGAAAGAGCAAAATAAAGGAAACTATATAAATATAAACTCTTTGTCCTCCAGAGACCTTTAGAAGAATCTGCAGCAGCCTGAGCGTGAAGTTGCCCCCCCCCCCCCCCCCCCCCCCCCCCCCCCGCTCCTTCCAGCCATCAGCAGCAGATAAGGAGCTGCAGGTTGGTTGGATGAGGATGCATTTTCAAATTAGTCCAGACGAGAGAGGAGAAGTCCTGGTGACTAATCTCATCAGGGAGAGCGGTGGCCACGGCTCGCTCCTACTCTGCCGGCCTATCAGGCCATCTAATTGTTAAAAGGAAGAGGCCTGCCGTCCATTTTCATGACCTCATTTTTACTTACTGGTCGAGCAAACTACAGCCAGCCCCCCCCCNGACGACTGTGACACAAATACTGCAAGTCACGTCAACAAAGTTCAGAGACAGCGGGAAAACAAAACGAGGCGTCCGTTCAAAGTTAAAAACCAGAATCTGAATCCGTGCAAAACAAACCGGGGTTTATTATTTGTCAGTTAATTGATGAAGTGATCATCAGAAAATTAAATTACAACAATTTTAACACTTGTTAATCATCAGTTTTTACTTTTCTTGTCAGTAAAAATGTAAAAATAGATTATTGTCAATTGAATCTCTTTTAACTGAACCTTGATCGAGCAAAAATAAAGACGTCACCTTTTTATAGTGGCCGAGATAAAATGTGATTATCGGACAAGTCACAATAATCTAAAGTGGTTTTTATAGTTGCATCAGAGTCTTCCCTCATCACTGATGATGATATTTCAGGGGAAAGTTGACGCAGGTTTATGGCAAACACTGAACCGTCATGGCCGTCAGCACAGTGAGTGTTTTATTTAGTAGTTAATCCATCTGGCTCAGAGCAGAGAGGAGACGAGAGGCAGCCATCCTCCCTCCATCGTTCTGTTTCTCAAACTGGTGAAAACAGCATCACAATGTTTTCACCGCGCTCGAAAAAGACAGGAAACGAGGAGACTCGGGGGTCTTTGTTGTTTCTGTTCAGCCGCTAGAACGTCTTCGACGAGGAGCCGTGAGTGAAATGTAAAGACGGATGAGAGAGGAAGGAACTGAGAGAATAACAGTCAGAGAGAGCTGGTGTTTCAAGAGAGCATCAGAGGTAACCTGAGGATGGACCTCTGTGCTGGGGGAGTATCAGTAATGACTGAGCTCCTGCACACACACTCACACACTCACACTCACACACACACACACACACACACACACACACACACACACACACACACACACACACACTCACACACACACACTCACACACACACACACACACACACACACACACACACACACACACACACACACACACACTCACACACACACACTCACACTCCTGCTCCATCACTCTTTTCTACAAAAACACTCTGTTCACTTTGTCTGCTGCCCAATCAGCGCTCTCACTGAGCTGACGTGTTGCTCTGTCACTTTCTCCTAAATCTACAAAATGCAGTTTGAATCTCGTTGGATTCCAGAGACACTCGTCTGGTTTTCCTCTAACTTGCAGATAAACTTTGACTCATTTGAGGTGGAGAACTTTAACTTCTTCTGGATTTCTCCAAACACTGTTGAGAAACAACCTGGAGCACGAATCAGCAGTGGAGCACAGACGTCAGAGCTGCATGTTAGTTAGAAACGGTACACACTGGAGGTATTTCCTCAACACTGAGAAAGAATGAGTTCTGCATCAGGGAGCAACTCATCAAATATTGGTGCAGATTTGGACGAGGAGGCCGATCCACGAGTTTTCTATCACCTTCTTTAACTTTGTGACTTTTTTTCCAGGAAATACTTTCAGTGATCTCGTGATGCAATCTTTAAAAATTAACATTTAAGAAACTGATATCGGTATCATTTGAAACTTAACGGCATCAGCTCAAAATTTTGCGTTGTCGCATTATTCCAAATGTTTTCAAACCATTATAAATCCGCTCGTGGCGTCAGATTCCCGTGTGTCTGCCAGAGATGGTCAAAATTATATTTTTTTTTCGAGTCACATTTTAAAAACAACGTCTTGGTGGTTTGAAAAACGAATTTTAACTGGATGAAGGAATTTAGTCGCTGGACGTTATGGATTTGTGAAACTAATCTGTCAAAAATCTACATTTAGTTTTTAAATGTTCCTTGAACATGTTGAAAATGATCCGATGGCGTCAAACAGTGAACGTCACCTGATCATCGCAGTTAGTTTGTACAAATTGGGGGAAAGTTAGACGCCGAACGTTTATGGAAATTATGTTCGTCATAGTTTTTTATAAGTTCGTAGTCAGAGTGCTTCACTGAATTAGAATCATTGAGGATGATTGTGACACAGGTTTCATTAGGTTTCATTAGTTTCTGTTATTTCCACGTCCGGTTAAATAAATCGATTTTAAAGTGAAGTTTAGTCTAAGAGAAGAAGAATCTGCTGGTTTGGTTAAAATCTCCCTGATTCAGAGAAACCTGTGAACTGTGCTGATCTCTGACTTCTGCTGATGGTCGATGGAGTTTAATGGACGGAGCGTCGCCGCGTCTCTCACTGATGACATCATGGTTTCGGGCTATTTTAAAACCGACTGCAGTGACCCTTCGCCTTGGAATGAGGAGGGGTTGCCCTCGCCGCTCCTCTTCTTTCCTGTCTTCCTCCCCTCCTCTCGTTTCTCCCCTCATCCTCTCACCTCCTCCCTTCATATCACCTTCACCACCTCCCTTCACTCTCTGCTTTCGCTGCCGTCCCGTCCTTCACTCCCCTAACTTTCCCATCCAGTCCCGTGTCGTATTTGTCCTTCCTCTCTATCTTCAGTTAGTCGTAACGAGGCTGTAGCTGGTGCCTCAGATGTCTGGACTTCACTGTGTCTTCAGCTGTGGTTGTTTTAAAGTCAATGAAACGAGGCCAAGAACTCGTCCGTCTCCAGTTATCAAACTTAAGTTCTTACTTGTTGGAAGCTAATTTATCCGTTTATTGAAGATTTGATAATTAGGGACTGTAGCTTTTGTTGGTGTCAAACAAAAATCAAACCAAAGCATCACACAAGAATAAAAAACAAAGATTTGTGTGTTTCATAAGACACATGAAGATCCTTCACATCCTTGACCAAATGTGCAACTTCCTGTAAACCACGTCTTGTTTCCAATCATCGGTCTGTCAGTGGTTTTATCTACAACCTAACTATTTGCAAAAACCAAGAGTTTATAGTTTTTAATCAGTCGGTGTGAAATCTTCCATTGAATGTAATTTGGAGTTTTACAGAATCGAGAGTTGGTGAAACTGGAGTAATAGAAATCTGCACGAGTCCAACATTGTGGATCCAATCTCAAACAAACTCGAATCAGAAGAACAAGTTGGTTTGTTCCTAAATGACTCGTTCTTTAAAAAGAGTGTGGTTCTCCCCCGTCTGATGCCGAGAGCAGTAAGTAATGGATTAATAGGTGTGACACGAAGAGTCGTCACATTAAGCTCTTTAACAACCAACTCATGCAATCAATAAAATCAAGTCAAAGAAAAAGAGAATAAATCAGCTGCCGACAGCGTGAGCGTCAGGCACTAAGACCCAGGGGCCTCCCTCCTCATGCCCTCCGGGAGCACAGCAGGATTGAATGACAATAAACTGGATGAGATACCGGATGTGCCGAATCTGACCCCAACGGAAAGACTGAAATAGACACTGCAGACCAGCAAGTCCAGGCACGGGGGGGGGAGAACAGGGGGGAGGAGACGGGGGAGTGAATGAGTGAGGGATGGTGACACTAAAGATAATCCTCAATATGGAGGAGCCACATGAAGGGAGAGGTGAGGAAGATGGGAAACGAACTGTGGTGTTTGGCAGCTTAAAGCAAAAACATTGATTCTTCTGAACGTTGAGTTTTATCCTGGTTCTCAAAGAACAAACGCACATTTGACTTTTAAACTCTTTATTTATTCATTCTGCATCTTCTTTTATTGTGACTTTGCTGACTGTCCTCAGTAAAAGCTGGTAAAGGATTGTTTTATTTTAAATAATCAGTTGCACGTGTTTAGTTGAGGTCTTAACTTTCTCCTTTTATTATCCGTACAATATCTGCTCATGGAACTAGAACATATCGAACAAATTCAATGCTGAGCGATGAAAACTCTGGATTAAAGTCACAGAAAGATCGTTGGCCTGAGATGAACTAATTCAAATGTACTTATTTAAAGTACAAACTGGTGTTTGTGTCAATAGATTTGTCAGGTTATTAATTTAGAGAATCATTTATTTCTAAAAATGTAATATTTGTATTAAGAACGAAAAACCAGCAGTTGCTGTTTTCTGGATTGCGTCTCGTCTGATCGGAGTCTGGCGGCAGCGTGATGTGAAGTCACTGAAACCTGAGACGAACATGGTTTTTCTTCTCCTTGTTCGTCAGGTGTCATTTGTCCGAGATTCATTTAGTTTTTATATTCAGCTCTTTGTGATTCTTCTGCTTAAAATCTCTCTTCCCATGTTTTCTGTAATATTGACGCTGTGAAGTTGTTGGTTTATCATGTTCAGAAAGATTTGAGTCTGGAGATGTCAACATGTGACCAATCCAGGCAAAGAGAGAGAAACAGGAACATGGCGTCTGGAAGCATTTTTACTTCTGTGAGACAGGAAACCAAAATGGGCGGAGCCGGGACAAGCCAATCAAACACTTCCTCACCCGTAGACTGTCGTAGTCAGTAGATTACTCGTATCAGAACGTGCGTGAGTCGCCTCCTCGCGGGTTCGAGACCTGGGTCTGTGGACCGAAGGCTCTTGGTTTCGTACTAACTTGTAAAATCTCCTCAGAAAGTTCTGCCATTGTTGAAATGTCCTGCTCGTGTCTTATTGTCGTCTCTCTTGAACTATCGGCTGCACTGCCCCCCCACGATGTGTTGCGGTACTGCTCCGTTTTGTCTGTTTTTCCGTCTGTATCTAACGTGAAGTGTAAAAACCCTCCAGCCTTCACGAGCTCTTAGAAAACAGCCTTTTGAATCATGAGATTATTGTTATTTATAATTCTCAGATTTTTTGTTTCACCAAAGATCTCCGCTAACAATACAGTGCAAGATGAGACATCTAGTGGCCTTTGGAGGAACTACAGTGAGAACTCTGCCTCGATTGATGCCATTTAACACTCGTGACTTCTTTTTGAGAATTTCTTCTGATTTCGATTTTGAATGTGTTGTGATAGGGGGCGCTGGTCAGCTGTAGACACTGACCCGTACATGTGAAGAAGAGAATAAAAAGAAAACCCACTGATCTGTTTCTTCTACATTCAGGTGGAAGTTTACGCTGTTTCTTATTTTCGGAGACTCTCCTCCCACGCTCCACAACTCTGTGGTTCTTTAGTGCATTAGTCAAAGCATTAGCTCCTCTCTCCATCTCCATTCATCCCCTCCCTCTCTCCATCCGTCCGTCATCCGCTCATCTTTCCTCCGCGGTCAGTCCCTCCCCCTGACGCCACCGCTCCTCACATCCCATTCACTTTCTTCCTCTCTCCCGTCAGTCCGTCCCATCATTTGCTCATCCGCCCGCCCCTCCAGTCCCACCCGGGTGGAGATGGGTATTGACATTCTGCATCCGACCTTGAGGACGATCAATCCCAACCCCACATGTCCCCATCTACACACACACACACACACACACATGAACACACATCCGAACAATGACTCATTAATCTCCTCTCCCTCCTCTTTCACTCATTAAGGTTAAAGTCGTGTAACTCTCTCTGTAAATAGGTAAAATCACAAAGTGCATGTTTGTGTGCGGACGATCGAACCATCAACACGACTGATTCACCTTCACTGCTGATTAAACAATAATTGGATCATTCCGTCCACCAACACGTCTGCAGACACACGTTCAGAGCTTCATCCATCCAGAGGCTCCAACACACAACCTGATATTTGTAGAAATCCCACAACAGCATGACGTGTATTCACGAAGTTACAAAAGGTAAAACATGAGGCCAGGTTCATCCGTCCTCCACCCAGGTCTCAAGACAGGAGATGGAAAACTGTGACAAGACGGGAAGATATCGAGTATTTGATGTTTTTAAATCCAATCCGATGGTCAAAAGATGTTTAGAAATCCTTTTCCACGTCTTAGTTTTAACTTGTGCACCTTCATGCACAGGATTCACGAGCGCTGTAGGTAACTGTGCACGTTCATACAAACAAAGTCTCTCTCAGCTTCATCTGATGAGAAATTCAGCATTTTGAAAAGCGACCGAGAGTTTAATGAAACATCGAGGCCTAAAAGACGATCTAAAAAAATGATATTTTTACAAAACACAAATATCGAAGCAGGTTTATTATCACAATGAGTTTGTTGTCTTGTTGTATTTCTTTTCAGATCCTGCAGCTTTACTGTGTTTGTGTAGTAAATCGTGTCGAGGGTAATTTCTTATGTCATCAGATGGAACTTTTTCTCTTCAAGGTCAAACAAATCATCAATAGTTCGTCAGCAGATCGGATGGCGACAGGATGAATTTATGCTTACCTCTGACTGGAGGGAGATCCATGCTGCAGCGGCTTGTCGGGATGTCCTTGGTGTGTGTGTGTGTGTGTGTGTGTGTATATAATATTCCTATAATATACCTACAATATCCTCTTAACGACTTATAACACGTCTGATTAATTCGTCTTGTTGTACTTTTGTGACTTTTGCAATCTGGATTTTAGATCCTACTTTGTGAAACTGCGTTTATTCTGCTGAAATACTGGATATTGAACCAGATCACAGGAGCAATGTGCTGCTGAGGGTGTGTGAGCGTCAGGACGGAGCAGGCTGGGAGGATGCTCTCTCGCAGCGTGACGCACCCTCCTCCTCCTCCTCCTCTTCCTCCTCCTTCTCCTCCTCTTCCCGGAGATCTTCCAGGAGCGCCCCGATCCCAGTGCGTCCTCCTCAGGTCAAAGAAAAAAAGAAAAGAAAAACTGAACAGTCCTTTTTTAAACGCGTCGCATCGAAGGGCTCCACACTCTCTGTCCAAGTTGTGGAGACATTCAGGCTGCAACAGATGCGTCTGATTTAGATCCTTCTGGCGTTCGGAGAATATCTTCTGAAAATGTCCTCAGTTGCAGGAGAGGGATGTGGAATTATCTTCACGCAGGAGAAGAAGCGAGGGATGTGAGACACTTGCAGCAGGGTGCAAAAAAAAAAAAAGACAGGAGGATGAAGAGGAAATCTGCAGCAGGAGGTTAAAGTTCCTCGGTCGGAGATTTAATGGAGAACTCTGCAAAAGATCTTCCTCTTTTTTTCCTCTCCTCCTCGTCCTGTTGTAGTTTCCTCTCCTCTTCCCGAGAGATGAATGACTGAGAGCTGGGTGCACTTTCTCACTCTCACTCTCTCTCTCTCTCTCCCTCACACACACCACTCACCCCTCCTCCTCTCTTCCCCTCTCTCTCTCTCTCACTCCTCTCCCTCTCATCCCTCCCTCTCCCATCATTGAAGTCTATTCAGTTCTGCTGTATGAACATGACGGAGCAGGAGCCTCCCTGTCGACTGTATCAGGCAACGTTACGTTCAAAAGTGATTTATCTTTATTAACGTTTCATCACACAAACACAAACCAGCACAATAGCAGGAAATCCAGTTCCAGTGAAGAAGAAATGTCCTTTATGCAAATGAGAGTAAATTAACAAATAAGTTTCTACAGGTTTAATCTGATTAAATCTGAAGCACAGTTTTCATTTTCTTTTGTCCGTTTACTTTCCATAAAGGTGGACGATGCATCTCCTCTTCCTCCCATTCTGCAAAATGAAGCCGTGATGTTTCAGATACAGTCGCTGCTGCTCATCTCGTCAATCATGACGTTTAACCACGTTTTAAAATCATCAAATAATCCATTAAAACTAAACTTATTCGAACATCAGGGTGATGAGAACGACCTCAAATGACAGAAACCATCTTTTTTTATGATTGATTATATATTTGAGATGTAGTTTGACTTTTTAGTTCGGTCCGTGTCCCATCCGCTAACATGGAGGAGACAAAGTTTAAGACCTAGACAGCAGCCACGAGAGATGTGGTCGGTTTACTCGAGGTGTAGTTGCTCCGTTGACTCTCGCAGTTTATTCCGTTATGGTCAAACTACAAACCTTGAGCTCATGTAGAGAAAAGGAGGGAGGGAGATTTTCATTCATCCTTTCATTCGTTCCATAAGGACGAGTGACATCACTAACATATTGCTGCATGACTGTAATATGAGCCTCCTTCCTTTGTCTGCGTGTGTGTGTGTGTTAGAGGATGCTCATGCATGTGTGTCTTTGTGCACGTGTGCTCTCGTCTCTTTTGGGCTGCGCTCTTACTCAGCAACTTGCAGCTACAGCGAGACTCTGGTTTAGATGCACACACACATTAAGGTGAGGGGATGGTCCCTAATGGTGCTGGTGTTTCCTGTTGAGGGAAATAACCGAGATGAAACAAACTGCTGATAGAGAATCACCGGGGGGGGGGGGGGGGGGGGGGGGGGGGGCAAAGACCGTCCTGTCTGTTTCAGTCAATTTGTGATTCTGAGTTACGTCAGAATTAACTTGGAACAAACGAGCAACTGACACGAACGTGACAAAAAACTAAACAAGGGTAATAATCCTCTATTTTATACAGTTGTCTGTCTCTCAACGTGCACGTGTGTGTGTGTGTGTGTGTGTGTGTGTGTGTGTGTGTGTGTG